TTTTAATTAAAATATAAACAAATATAAATATAAATTTGTATATTTTAAATTATATTATATATTTTTTTGCTATATTTTATCATATATGTTGTATTGATTTCTTATACGATATATGTATATTGTCTCATATAGAATGTCATATAATATAGTAATAAAATAGAAAATAAATAAAAAATATTTGATTATTGTATTATGATACATGATTATTATATCATATTTTATTACGTATTTTGCTAAATATTTCGTATTTTCATTGTATCTTATTTATGTACTTTCATATTTAATTTATATTATATTTAATATTAAACTAAATTGTATAAATAATAAATGTTATAGAATTTAAAATGTATATGCAAAGAAAAAAGAGACCTGCCGATTAGAATCAATGAAGATTGCGCAGAGTCTCTACAAATTGATTCAGATAATGCAATATCTAAAATCATATAAGATGTCTTTATGTTTTATATCCCAATTTTAGATATTGCGTTATATTTGAAGTTTTTAATAGATCAACATTCCAAAGAAATGAAAATTATATCAAATATAATTTATTACGCGAATCACATACAACGACGACTCGCTGCGAGAGTTGGAACAAAAACTATTATAATAGTCAACATATTCTATTTAGAATAAATTTATACGTTCAATATTTATACACGATTATTATCCAATTCTTTCGACTATCAAATTTGACATCTGATGAACACTTGAATCCTCCCGTCAAACTGTGACAAACCGAAATCACCGACATATCGTTTGTATTTGTGTGGGTATATAAATAAAAGTGTAAATAAAATGATGAAATATCTTAAATCTCAAGTGCCTACCTTATATCGTCTGACAATGGAGGTTAATTTTGAATATTTGAGTCGCCATAACTCCAAAACTTTTGATTATTTAGTTTGGTGACTATTAAGACTTTTGATTACTGAGTCAAAACCTATATCATCAAAATTTTAATTAATTTGATCAGAATTCCATTTCCATAAGAACCTTTATATTCGATTCTTTATAATCGATTAATTATGCCATAAATAGTTTAATTAAGTTTATTTAAAATTTTCTTTTCTAATCAAATATAGAATTAAAAATTTGCTGCGTAATTGTGAACGTTTAATTAAAATTAGTTTTTAAAAAAGTAAATCCAGTAAAAGATACTGCAAGATATCTGTTGTATAAAAAAGATCTTAAAGAAGATTGAATTGTAAAAGATCTTTTGTATGAAAGATTTAATATTAGAAATCTATCTATAATACTAACGTCAAATTCATAGTTGCCAATAAAATTTAATACAATTATTGTATTTACAGTTATTATGTGTATCACATAATCATATTAGTCTGTTGTAGATTGCATTTCAAATTCTAAATTGTATAAAGTGATTTTAAAATCAAATTGATATACAAAAATTTGAAACGCCCAAAAGTGCATGTACTTGGCATCTTTTATTATCTTTTCTGAAACAGTAATTTTAATATATTCAATGTGTGTGTCGGTAACATCGTATCCAATCTGACTAGGTGCGTTTCATGATAAATTGCATTTGTGGCTCGAGGGTGACTTCAGTTGGCTTTTCCGTTCAATAAACAAAACCTGAAAGAGGATATTACTTTTCGTCGCATACAATATACATTTTGTGACCATCAATTAACCTTTCTTTCTTTTAACACTGTATTTTTTAAGCGTAAATTTCATATGTTTTATACATCAGTTTATTAAATTTCATACGTTTTATACATCAGTTTACAAAAATAATATCACGAAAAGTTATTAATAAACATAATTATTTTTACAGAATTAAATCTACCTTACAAAGCAATTTTCTTTTAAATTTTTGTTAGTATTCTAAAATTTTATAGAGAAAAGGAAAATTACTATTAGTCCGTATTTTGGTAAAATTGTATCTTTACAAAAAAAGTGCCAAGTTGTATAAAAAGATATTACACTATATACAAAAGATCTTTTATACGAAAAATTTAATCTAACTGATGCCAATTTGTAACAGTCAGTAAAATTTAATATGCTATGGTATTTGTGTATATATATATATATTACATAATTGCATAACAAGAGTAATACAAATCTAAGACAGTGGCAGTGGATTTTCCGGGTTTATGAAAATAATATGTTTATTAAATAATTTACTTACTTACTTACTTTCTCTATTCATCCATTTTTATTTTTACATCATTTTACATTATATGTCATTTTATATTATATCAATTTGTAAAACTACTATCATGTCTCTTGATGAATAGTTATTACTAAATTATATTTTTAAATTGAAACAAGCTATGCAAATTTTATATCACGAATAAACGCGGCATTATTGTGATCATTTACTATTTTAGTATTTCTTGAATAAGAGATTTTATTTCGGATCTGAAAATACAAACATTTTATTTCTACATCGTAGAAAAGTGATCTTAAAACGTCCCCATAAATTCTGTTTAAATTTTTATTCCCATACAATTCAGGTGAACGGTGTTAGCAGTAATTCACAGTTTGTATCTCGCCGTGTATATATTAGGAATAAAAAGTAAGCAATTTTATTAGAATTAATTAAAGAGATGTCGGAACGATATGGATAAAATATAAAGTCGTATTTCCATAGATGAATTTTCTTCTAAGGCTGTATCAGAGCATTTTTGTTCTATTATCGCGCAAATGTCACATGGAATTGTCAAATGTCATGGGGTAAATCTAGTGATTTTTCCGAGTGATGAGTAAGGACGACGCGAAAAAAAGATTTGCGATCTTCATGCAATCCTCCGCTTCAGTTCTTCGTCGTAAAAGTTAAAGAGAGAAATAGAGCGAGAAGGTGCATATTAGAGGGACGAACGAGAAATCTCGTAAGGGCGTGAAGGGGGCGCTCCTAGAAGGCATAGAAGAACGATCCGAGTTTGTATCATAAAAGAGAGTGGCGAAAGGCTGGCTCGTCTTTGAGCCTTTCATAAAGTGAAAGGAATGTAAGAGCGTTCCGGGAGGAAAGGTCAATACTTTGGTAGGCGATAGTATTGGTCATTGCAAAGAAAAAAGTCTCTGTCAACACATGTCACAAGCGAATTGCTAAGTGTGATTGCACTGACGATTTAAGATAGAATTTTCCAAAATTTATTGCAATTTTTAAAAAAAATTGCTTTTTGTCATTTAACATACTTCTGTTGTAACATTACTATTATTAATTTGCTTCGAGTGTCTTTTGTATGTTAATTTTTAGATTACAATTCGACTATTGAAAATTAGTTTTTTTTTATAATTAAAAAGTTTCAATATAATCTCGATACTATAATAACTGATATTAGTATCATTTTCCACAGTATAAACTTTTTCCTGAAATATGTTTTATATATATGTGCGAACTTATCTTTAATAACTATCTAATAGCAATGTTTCATTTGTTTTAAATATTATCGCTCGTTCTGTTTCAAGAAAATTAATTCAATGTTTTGTATTAATCTATCATGAAATTTTATGATTTTTTGCGCATGTGCTTTTTTCTTTTTCGTTTGAAAAAGAAAGCAAGGTCGTAGTACATGAAGATAGCTTTCAGACAGTGAATGACGCCATTTCCAAAATTTGATGCCGATTTAATGGCGGGCGTTGTCAGGCGATCGTAATTTCTCCAGGATGAAACATATTTGACGCAGGTGCGTCCATTGAATATATATATATGTATATGTTACACGGTTCTTTTATCTACTGAAAACATATTTCATTCATTTACTATCTATTCCGTATTCTCAAACTTAACCGAGTTTTGCCTTCGAATGACGAAGAAAATTAAAAGAATTAAAACTTAAACGCCCAAA